TTCCTGCCCTAGATCTCTCCCACTTACAGCTAAACACTGGCTAGCACATTATTACAGGCTTTTCACCTCATAGTCACAAAGTGGCTGCAGCCCCTCCAGGCATTATATTTTCACAGGGCAATAGCCAAACCTTTCCCAGAAGTTATCCTGCAATTCAGTGATCTACCCTCATGCCTCTTTGGCCAGAGTTAGGCTCCACAATCACAGATTTTTGGGAGGGAATCAAGTTGAGTCCCTGAGTGCATTTAAATGAAGTCCTAAACAAAATCAGAGATCTGCCCACAAGAAAGAGGAGGTGAAACTTTGTCAAAGCTAGCCTGGAATTATGGGGCCTAAAGGCCCTACTTTTACCCTCTACTATGACACTTTCCATTACAATGAAATGTTCTAGATCTTCGTTGTCCACAGCCATGGGATTATTGAGCACTTGAAATACAGTTAATGTGATTTAGGACATGAACTCAATGTTTTTAAGATTAATCAAATTCTAAGAGCCAGGTGAGCCAAGTGGCTAGGGCCCCAGTGATACAGTAACAGCACATCTGTAGTGTTGCTTTGAGATGCTCTAGGACTTTAATGCTGTGAAAAGATCATGTGAAACACAAATGTAATTCAAATTTTCAAATGGCCACATTAAGAAAAGTAAAAAGCAACAGGTAACATCCATTGTACAATATAACTTATTGTACCTGTATATCTAAAATATTGCACTTCAACACGTAATCAATATCAAAAATGTTAATGAAATATTTTACATTCTTTTGTCCACCCTACATCTTTGAAATCTAATGTGTAGTTCACACTTACAGTACATCTCAATTTTCAAGTGCTCATTAGCCCATGTGGCCAGATCTGGTCCAGAGATTTTCAGAGCACTCATGTCGAGTTATCTTTCCTGATTCTTTCACAGCCCTGAGGAGGGAAACAAACTAGAAACAGTAATACAAGGCTTAGGAAGGCTATGCCAGGGGCTCTGACTGTCATCAGAGCCCCCGGAGGGCTGGTGAATGCATGTGGCTGGCGTCCACCCTTTGTGTCTCTGCTTCAGCAAGTGAATGATGTGCATCGCTAATGGGTGATGTGAATGCTGCAGGTCAGGGGCCACACTTGGAGAAGCACCACTCCGAGGGAGCTGCCTGAACTCACACCCCTTGTAAGCAGAGGGCTCCAAATTAAAACAGCATTCTCTGTCTTCCAGCTCATTCTCTCCACATTGCTGAAACAGTCTAAAACTCTCAAAGGACTGAATGGCACTCGCTGCTCTCTCTCTGAAGGGTTGGCAGCAGAGTCTACATAATCTGTAAGCATTGCACCTGTTTCGGATCTGCACCTTTTGCATGCTGACTTTTTGGCTATCACAAATGATTTTAGGTTCCACTTTTCTTGAGTAAGTCACTTAATAAGTAATACATTTTTAAAGGAGACCCTCTCGCTTATGTTTACTGTGCCACCTGGGCCTTTGGGGTAGAGTGGGACGGTACTGTCCTTGCACTGTCTAGATGTCACTGGAGTTCAGATGTGAACCTGGAGAGGCAATTACATAAATCACTTCTGACAAAGCTTTGCTCCTAGCCCTGGGTAAATGATACCTTTAATATGCTTGGTGGCAGAAGTGATCAAAGCCAAGCTGAGCTTCTGATAGCACTTCAGATGATTTTCTAATCAGCAGGTACCAGAAGTGGCTCTCAGAACTGCTGTCATCCTGCTTTGAAGGGTCAAGCCTCCCCTTGGTGCATTGCTATTTGCAGAAGGAACTGTCTCCCTGTGGTCCAGCTGCTTCAAGGCCAGGTGACTCCCAGCCTGAGCAGTGCATCTGAAGTATAGAAATTGGAGAGATGGTCACATTTACGACAAGAAAGCTGATTCTTCTGGCCTGAGGAGGGGCTGTGAGGCTCCTGTGCCACCTTCTTGTCTGTCACTCAGCCAGGGCTCTTTAGCAGCTGGGACCAGCCCTTTCACTACCTGGAGGAGAAGGTCCCTCAGACCTAGCTTGGCTCCAGTATGCATGGCTTATGACAATGTGCAGGGGGGCAATTTGGTACTAATGCCAGATATTTAATCAACAAACCCAAATGGGGCCCCAGTATATACATCCTATAGCAAAGGGACAATTGAGCTGAAAAATATCTTAAAGACAGACTGTTTCCTGCCAAGTTTACTCAGCATTAATGCTCACTAGGTTCTCTCTTGGCAGAGAAATGTAGTGACTGCCCCCTTCAGGTGTGTATTTAGTGCCTTGGGAGAGGACAGCAACCTGGCCCCAGCCAGTAGGCCTCTTCCTACCTAAGGGACAGCAGTCTGCCCCTCACCCTTCTAGAGGTTTCTGCTCCTTTGAGCAGAGGGGTACCTGGTTTCTTGGATGTTTCTCTTGGCATCTCCTCCAGCCATCCTAGAAGCACAGTGATTTCCATACCGTGTGGCCCCCAGGCTGCATGCCTCTTTATAATCCCATTTAATTAAAAGTTGCATCTGTGCAATTCTTTAGAATTCTGTGGAAAGCCTTAAAAAATATCTAGATGCTTAGGCCTCCTCCACACCAAGTAACTCTGGGCTTGTGATTTTCCCCAATGATGTCAACATGCAGCCTGTGATCGAGACCCCATGCTGCATAGGACATCTAGCTCCAAGGAAGTGGGTCCCTGAGAGCTGGAGTTGTGTTAGATCCCCATCCTATGCCCCAGTGAGGGATGGGATCTCTTCTCCTGTGATCAGCGTTAGCAGGGTCTGTGCCCGGCTGCTCATAACCCAGTGATGCACACGCCCCAGCAGCCATGCCTGCTCCTCTCAGCTCATCAACTGTGACAAAGCATGCTTGTGGCAAAAACAGATGCAGCCAAGATCTTTCACCCACCAAGCTCCAGAGGCCCTGGTAGGGGGTGCTAAAAACCACACATAATGCTTAATGGTGTCAAACCCTGTTCTGACTGCCTCACATATGCCACTTATTCATTCCACACAACAGCCGGCTGCACTAGGGCTAGGATTAATGCTGCTTTGCAGGGAAGGATATGGAGGCTAGAGAGGATGAGTAACTTACACAAGGCCACACAGCTGGGAGACAGTGGAGCTGGGATCAGACTGAGGCACTCACACTATGCTAGGCGGCCTTCAGGAATACCCAGGGTCCAAAAATGACCTCCCACAGCCAAAACTGTCAGCTGGATCAAAGCCCCAGTAACAGCTTCGTGACCATTCCCCAATTTTGGGGGAGAATACTGAGAGCAGGCCTGAATGGACCAACCTCCTGCCCTTCACATCCCCGGGCTTTGTCACTATGATGCTGGGCTGAGGGCAAGGATTCTCCCTATTGACTCAACTGCACTTTCATCATTCCAGTGATTTTTTAAAAGCTGAACTTTTCTCACTAATCCCTGAACCTCACACCCAACCTGGGCTTGGTGCTGGAGGCATGATAGGACTTGAGAGCCAGGTGGAGAGATGAGAGAGGCAGAAGTATGTCCATCTCAGGAGGAGCCCAATGTCACCCAGAGGCAGGTGTCCCTCTGGGGCCCACCTTGCAGGAGGTAAACACTCAGCCCCTCATTAGAGAATTCAGAGAGTGGTCTGCATCTTACATACTTCTCTGGTTCCTCCCAAAACATAGACATCTTGGGACAGCATTTTTTAAAACAACTGGTTCCTCTGTCAGCCTAGGACACACAGGGCCTTCCAGTTTACTCTCTGCAGTCCCCGGTAGGGTTGCACCTACCCTTTACTACCGTAAAACCCTTTCCTGGTGGTCCAGGGAGAGGAGTGACAGCCTCCTACAAGTTAATCTGGTGCTTAAAAAACTTTGTTTTTTCTACCACTTTAATGGTAATTCATAAAATTAAAATGGAGAGTTCCCATAATTAGAGCATCCATGCTGCTTTCTGGAAGAGTCAGGAATTATGCTACTGTTTCAACATGATTACTAAGGCAGCTTCTTTTTCCCCGCAGAAGAATCTGGCTTGAGCCTTTACCCATCATCAGGGTGTGAGTCAAACCAGAATAAAAATTAGGCTGGTCAGCAAACCTGCTGTGTTTGGGTCGTTTGTAGAAAGTTGGAAGAGCAGTAACATTTTCCCATGTATCCTAGGATTGTTTTCAATGCAAGTGAGATGTGAAAAGATGGTCCATAGAAACCTATACAGCAAACAACAGTGGTTATAATAATTCAGGTGAGTTGTCAGTGGCTTACCCATCCCTTTTGCCGTTGGCCCTTTGAAGGCAGCCCCGCAGGGGAACATCAGACAGTTGTGAGGCCACATGGGGGCAAGCTGACCTCCTCTTTGGTGTTATCATCCAGAGTCTCACTTTAAGCCACTCAGAAGGGTAGAAAAAGAAATGATCAGGACAGCCGGTGCTCACTGAGCACTGACACAGCCAGGCACTCTCCCCAGTCCCTGCACTTGTGCCTACGTGATGGACCCTCACAACCCCCAATTGAGGAGTTACTATCATTGTTCCCACTCTCCAGGCATGGAAACTGAGGCATGAAGAGACTGAGGAACTTGTCCAAGACTACATATCTGCCAAGAGGTGAAGCTGGATTTAAACCAGGTGGCCTCATTTCAAGGTGAGGATGCTACAAAGAGTGTCTGCCCACCAGACCCATGCATGCCTGGAAGGCCCCTGAGGGCCCTGCTCTGCTCCCTGTTGCAACGGCCCCAAATGCTGCTATATAGACCTCACAGGCCTGGACCCTCACACCATCCCTACCAGTGGCCATGAGCCACACAGACCCCAGTTCTGGCCCTGATGTCCTGCTTATACATGGCTCCTGCTTCTCTGTCACTTTGGATGAGGACCCTATGTGTCCACCACACAACGCACCCGGTTCAGTGCAAACTAAGCACCCACCATCTGCACCCCCAATGACCCTTCCCTACCAGGCCCTCGGTCCTGCTGCCACCTTTCAGCCCAGGCCTCAGCGCACCCCAGCGTCTGCTCTGCAGCTTTCCTCTCAGGAAACCACTTTCCTCCTCACTCCGTCAGCTGCCCTCTGTCCTCTGTCTCAGGTTCGAGACCTCCTGGCCCCCTGCGGCCAACGCCAGTCATGTCCCTGCAGAGGAGGCAAAGATGGTGGCCCCTGAGGACGCACATAGTGGGCCTGTTGGGCAACGCTCTGGTCATCATATTCGTGATCCTGCGCTATGCCAAGATGAAGACGGCCACCAACATCTACCTGCTCAACCTGGCCTTCGCGGACGAGCTGTTCATGCTAAGCGTGCCGTTCGTGGCCTCATCGGCTGCCCTGCGCCACTGGCCCTTTGAGTCAGTGCTGTGCCACGCGGTGCTCAGTGTTGATGGCCTCAACATGTTCACCAGCGTCTTCTGCCTGACGGTGCTCAGCGTGGACCACTATATAGCCATGGTGCACCCACTGCGTGCCGCCACCTGCCGGCGGCCCTGCATAGCCAAGCTCATTAACCTGGGCGTGTGGCCGGCCTTCTTGCTGGTCACCCTGCCCATTGCCATCTTCGCCAACACCAGGCCAGCATGGGGTGGCCAGGCCATAGCCTGCAACTTGCACTGGCTGCACCCGGCCTGGTCTGCAGCCTTTGTGGTCTATACATTCCTACTGGGCTTCCTGCTGCCCGTTCTGGCCATGGCCTGTGCTACCTGCTTATTGTGAGCAAGATGTGGGCGGTAGTAGTGGAGGGCTGGCTGGCAGTAGTGGAGGCGCTTGGAGAAGAAGAGGCTGGTGTTGACAGTGGACTCCATCTTTGTGCTCTGCTGGATGCCTTTCTACGTGGTGCAGCTGCTGAACCTGTTTGTGACCAGCCTTGATGCCACTGTCAACCTGTTTGTGACCAGCCTTTATGCACTGTCCCTCATCCTTGGCTACGCTAACAGTTGTGCCAACCCCATCCTCTACAGCTTCCTCTCTGACAATTTCCGCCGCTCCTTCCAGCATGTTCTATGCCTGTGCTGCTGCCTGCTGGGTGCAGCTGGCGGGGCAGAAGAAGAACCCCTGGACTACTATGTGCCATGGCTCTCAAGAGCAGAGGTGCGGCAAGATGCATATGCCCACTGCTCCCCTGCCAGCAGAAGACAGTGCAACCAGAAGCCAGCTGCAATCACGTACCCCTCACTGGGACCACCAACTTCTGAAGAGCCCTTTCACCACTCCCAGCCTGGCACCCCATTACAGCCCAGCAGACTGCCTGTCTGGCTCTCCTAGGACCCACAGCCACCTCCTTCCTTCTCACAGACTGTGTGCCAGCCCCAGGGACAGCAAAGGGTCTGTGCTCACTCCTCTCCGCAGGATGCTGGCTTTCAGAAGGATGCCTCCACAGGGTTAGGACTCCTCTGAAACTAGTCTAAGATGATAGTCATTCCTGAACCCCTGACTATTTTTCAAGGGGTGGGAAGCAGGAGAGTGCCAGGGGGGAATGGCCATCTGCATGTGACTTGTTTCACAATCTCTGCTTGGGAGAGGCCTGCCTGGAAGGTGGAGGCAGCCATGCTCTCACTCTCTGCAGACTCTGTGGTGGGGACATGGGGCATGTTGGGAAAGACAAGGAAGGAAAGAAGACTCCTGCAAGCATAGTCCTTTAGCTTTTGTTCCTGGGCTCTTCTGCTGAGATTTGTGTATGACAGCCCAGGGCATTGGCTTCTGTACCTCCCAGACCCAGTGCCTGTTCACAATCACAGATGTCAGCTGGTTGTCTTGCGCCAGCTTCCTGTGAGGAGAAAAGATTTGGAGAGGCATAGCATGGGGTTTGTTATGAGGCATGAAACCAGGTCAGTAATAAAAGACAGGCTAAATCTCATCTGGCTCCTATGATGTGATTTTTTTGCCCAGACCCTTTGGTGTGAGACATGAGCCTTCATAAAGGCAGCGAGTTATACCATGCTGGTGAGTGGGAAGGGTTCTGGGGAGGGGGAGATGACCAGAGAACACAGATGGAAATCAGCCCAATTTTAGATAGAGAAGGCAGCTCCATCCTTCACTATTTAAAAAAAAAAAAAAAAGACAACATTCAGTAAAACATCAGCCAGATGTAGATAATAAATAAATGTAGGCTGAACACAGTACAAGGCCATGACTTTTGCCTGATGTTAATGCAAGGATAAATTATTATTATCCCCAAAGGAAAATCAGCTTAAGAGGAACTTCAGTCCTGCTTTCTGCTACAAGCAGAGGTGGGGGCTGAGGAAATGCTCGCAGTGCTTGTGTAAGAATCTAGAGTGAAAACTTGCTACTAAACATGCATAAAGTGCTACACAGGGCAGCCCGCCTGGCTCAGCACAGCAAGACATTTCTCACCTGATGGCAAGAGGAAGCTGTATGGGGAAGGAAGGGTAAATGACCCCTGAAGACTGAGCTTCTGCTCTTGGAGGTAGCCAGCTCCTCAGAGCCCTCAGCTTCCTGGCAAGAGGGCTTCCAGAGACAGCATCTCAGGTCTGTCAGCCTAGCAGGCACAGCATGACCAGGGCATGCTCAGGTGCCAGCAGGTGTTCCAAAGAGGGCACACAGGGGCTTCTGGGTGGCTAAAGGAGAATGAGGCAGGGCCAGAAGGGCAGGGCAAGGACTGAGAGGAAGCTCTGCCTCCTCTCAGAGTGAGGTAGAAGCAAGACAAAGCAGGTACCTGGCAAAGGGAAGTGAGCAGAACTGAATTCTGGTCCTAGATACCAGCACTTTATGATCCAGGCAGGCAGCTGAACCCCAGGACCCTGAGAGTTCTGCCTATAAAATCAGGAAGCCAGTCCAGCCAGCACACAGTGATTCTCAGCGGTCTAACTCTGGGCTGGTGTCCATGAGCTATAGATTCCATCATCTCCCTTACTGAATGGAGAGAAAAAGAGCCTTACTTAAACTGTCTCCGGGCATCATAACCTTTGGATCCTTGCTCTTCGACACAGCCAGGCAGCTGGGTGATCTGCAAGCAAAAAGGAGTGCTGATCCCGGATCTCTCACAGGGTTGGGTGGCTGAGGGGAAGACGTAGGGTCTGTGTTTGGGTGGTCTACATCTGTCCTGGAGAGAGAATGTGAAGCCAAGTCTGTACTGTGTACTGGAGAGGTGGCTGTGGTTTGGCAGCACCTAGCTGAGGCACAGACCCCTTGAGCCCACACATGTGCATGCAGACACGTGCAAGCATCCTTAACCTGAGTTACCTTGGACATTTGGAGTAAGACGGTGCTGGAGTCGCCCAGTGCCAGGCAGTGCCTGGCAGAGTGGGCACTTGATAAATGCAGTTAAACTAAACTGCAAAGACCACCTGGGCTGAGAGCAAGTAGGTGAGGGGTTCAGGGCACTGGCAATGATATAATGGGCATGAGCTGCTGGGCCTTTGCCCAGCTTGGTCTTTCTCTTCTGTCTCCAGTACAGACTCACACTGGGCAAATTCTCTGGTGAGCAAAAAGAGCCTTACCTAAACTGTCTCCGAGCATTGTAACCTTTGGATCCTTAGTCCTCCACACAGCCAGGCAGCTGGGTGATCTGCATGCAAAAAGGAGTGCTGATCCCAGATGTCTCACAGGGTTGGGTGGCTGAGGGGAAGACGTAGGGGAAGACTCCCTCACTGGGAGTCTTGGCCAGGCTTATGCTCACCTGACTATTCAAAACTGCAACCTTTTAAACTTAGATGATGTTGAAGGGGAGAAAGCTTAGATCATGGAAAGAAAAGCCACTGGGAGGCAAGGAACTGTGTGGTCAGCTGCCCTGTCAGCAGGGCTACAACCTCTCTAAGCCTCAGTTTTCCACTTGAAATACACACAGAGGGAGGGTGTGAGATTTGCGTTCTTCCCCACTGTAAACTGCGTCCCAACAAACCCTGGGGAGACATACTTACTGAGACAGTGGGAGGTGGAAAGCATTCATTAAGCTTGTTGCTCTCTCTATTGTTAAAAATGAGCAACTACACTGCCCTTGGCCCTGGGAATAATATATCACACAGCAGAGGGTGGGACAGAAGGTGGGAGTCCTATTGATCATTTTCTTCCTCAGTTGCAGCCTTTCTGATTTGGGGGTTTTAACACCTCAGCAGCAGCAGAGCAATCAAGCATTTGTTTGGGGATGCATTCACAGCTTGCCAACAGCCTACAGGCTATAGTTCATGTCAGCCCCGTGCCTGTGGAGCCACTGGCTGCATAAAACCCTGCCTTATAGTCCGGGTGCAGACAGGCTGCAGTGAACTGAAGTCAGTGATGGAGACAGCCAGGGTTCTGAGGGCACCCACACAGGTCCCAAGCTTGGAGGCTGGCTGGACAGGCATGCTGGACCTTAGTCCAACTCACTTATCATAACAACTTCTGCCTTCAAAGTGAATGAAAACCTTTTTTATCCAGGTAGAAACAGCCTTCAGGCACCCCTGTCAGTGAATTTACTCTTCAGTGACAAGCCAGGTGTTTAATTTTCTAGACGGTCAGGAAAACTATGTTCGGACATGACAGGTGGTCACTCATCAGCATTCATGCCCAGCTCAGCAACACTATGTCTTTGAGCAAAGATGAATACTATCTTCATACTCACCTTTAAATTCTTTAACTTTCATTAAAAACATCCTACTCCTTAGGTGCTAGATGCTGATATCAATGGAGAAAACTACCAAATGTGGTATGTTTGGGCCATCTACCTCAGAAATCAGACATGGGAGCCTGAGCAGTGAGGAGCAAATGCCTGCAAATCTGGGTTTCTCTGACAGACTGTAGGTCATGAATCATCCCCACATTTCACACTTGCTTACCCTAAGTAGATGACAGAACAGCCTCAAATTCCTTAAAATGTCAGAATCCTGAAGCTCTGTCCTCTGTTGCATGCCATCAGCCAGCACCATGCCCTGACACCCTTCTTTATGGGGGTGTGGGCAGGGGTGTGTGTGCAGACAGCACACCAAGTGCGGCTTTCCTCAGTCAACAGGGCAGCTTCAAGGTACAGGGGGAGCCTCTGTAGATAGTGGCCTTGCCCTCATGAGCTTGGAGGTTAGTGGCAAAAGATGCACATTAATCAAATAACCACAGAAATGACAGCACAATTCAAACCAAAATAAGAACCATCCAAGAAAGGAATCTGGTTTCTATGAGTTGAGCACTCAAAGAACCAGACCTTGCCTTAGGGAAGTTCTCCCCAGGAAGGTTGCAGAAGATGACTTCCTGAAAGATGTGTGGGAATCAGCCAGGAGAAGAAGGTGGTGGGGCTCTAAGTAGAAGGCACAGCTTGTGCAAAGGCCCTGTAGTGGGAGCACTGAAGGTGAAGGGAGCAGGATGGATGATGCCAGCCAGCTGCAGGGGCTAGCAGATACAGGCCAGCAAAGCCTCAGAAGCCCTCCAAAGGATTTAGGACCCTGACATGGGATGGCAATGGCAGACTCTAATGAGAGTTTGGGTCTATCTGCGAAGAAAACCATCGAGCTCTTGAGTCCTTGTGTGATGAGGATGTGTATGCTCTCCATTTTTCAGTGGAAGGTTGGCAGGAGGAGGTGTCCTTTTCATTTCAACTTCCATCAACTTTGTATCAACAAGAAGGCAGGGTCCTCAATCATAGGAGTGTATGGGCTCAGTGGAGGAGAACCAATATAAAACCAATGTAAAAATAATCCAAGATCATTAACTGTGTCATCTAGAATGGGAAGATTGACTGTTAAAATAGAATCTGCAGCTTCCTATTCTTAAAAGACACCACAGGCATGCACGTGGAGTTTGAGAGACTTGGGGTTGCCCAGGGTCAACACTGGCAGTGTGGGCATGTGGAGGAGGGGACACACTTGACACACACAGACCAGACAGACTGCTTAACAGCCCGTGGCCACAGGAAAGTTGCAAGACCCCTGGAGAAGGGGCAGAACCAGTATTACATGTGCAGTGCCTGGCCCAAGTGAAGGCTCGCCGTTTGAATGGTCACTGAATGACAGGAGGGCAAAAGAGTTGGTGCAGAAAGTTGGGGTTGTTTTGTGTTTTTTTTTTTTAACATCAGGCTTTCTTTAGCCTTCCTGAGGAGGCTCTGACTTTTTTAAAGCTATTTTTATTGAAGAATGAGTTACATATGGTAAAGTCGCTTGTTTTAGGTATACAGCTCCATGAATTTTGACAAACTTACACAGTTTCAATTGTTTAACTGCCACACCAGACAAGATGGGGACTGCCTCTGTCACCATGTACTTCCCTTTTG